GATAGCTCGTTTAAATTTGACAAGCAAGTGTCTGCTGTTGTGAGGTCTAGTTTTAATCAGCTGCGCCTCATTTCTAAGGCTAAGCGCTATATTCCGCACAATGACCTGGAAAAACTTATTCACGCATTCGTGACTTCCAGGTTGGACTACTGCAACTCTCTTTACATTGGCCTTTCCTCCTCCCTTCTCGTTAGATTGCAGACTGTCCAGAATGCGGCGGCACGCCTTTTGACAGGTAGCAGGAAGTTTTCTTCCATCACTCCTGTTCTTGCTGGCTTGCACTGGCTGCCAGTTAAATACCGTATTCAATTTAAAATACTACTTTTCACTTACAAAATTATTAATAATTTGGCGCCGAGCTACCTCAATGAGCTTCTTAGGTTACACACTCCTGTCAGAGCACTTAGATCTGCTACCCAACTTCTTCTGGAGCAACCTCGTTCTCGGCTGAAGTCTCGCGGCGACCGTGCGTTTGCTGTAGCTGCCCCAGTCTTATGACAATCGGGCGTCTGACTCTATGCCACTGTTTAAATCACGGCTGAAGACTTATTTATTTAATCTTGCTTTTCCACCTAGTTAACATTTGGTGTGCGTTGGTACATTTTTATCCGTTATGCTTGTTAACTACTTTTATATATTATAATTGTCAAGGTTTTATAATTGATACGTGCCAGGTCCTTTCTCTTTTCCCTCCCATCTCCTTTTTCCTATTTTATTTTTTGTCAAGCACCTTGGTATACCCTTGGTTTTTTAGTGTGCTTTATAAATAAAGTTTATTATTATTATTATTATTATTATATATTATATTATGTGTAAAAACATGACGAGAGGAGGGGAGAAGTTACAAAGAAGCCCCCTCCTCTCTTTCCTCGCTTGCTTTGATCAGCTACACCCAGAACAGAGTCCACTCAGTGATTTTATCAGTAATAATATATTAAATTGTTTCCAACTCCTTTCCACAAACTCATGCTCATTCATTAGATGCATTAGTGCCTTTAAGATGAGATTCATAAGCCAAAGTAGCTTCCTACCAAACATTTTAAACTTCCATTCGCCTCTCAGCTAATTACACAATCTGATGGTGCTCACATGTGTGCACAAAACAGAAGCCCTCTTCGATCAGTGATATTTTTACCCTGTCCTGTGCTCTGCCCTGTGACGACTTCACACCAGTATAGCGCCTCACCTTTTGGCACACTGACTGACTCCCCTCTCCTCTGACCTAGTGCTGATAAAGGACTCACATTTTCTGTCCGCTAAACAGCTCTATATTTGTCAGCAGCATAAAACTGACAATCAGCCCAGCAAAACAGATGTACGCACCAAACAGAAAGTGCTGTCTGCAAGTTTAGGTATAGGTTGCGAGGTCATGCCATGGTAGGTCACATGCCTTTTTATGAATGTGATGAAACATAGATACCAGCCTTCCACAGGTCCTTTTAAAATCTGCACTGACAGCCTAAAGATTTAGCAGATAAATTATAGATCCAGGTGTATCCGTGTGTCTTTGTGTGCTGGCGTCATGTGAGAGCTGATGACAGTGTCGGATTGAGAATGAAGGGGAAGGATAAGAGGATGTAGTGATGCATGGTAAGAGAGACCAAAGCAGGAGTGTTAATGTTCTCAGGCTTGCTGCTCTGACTTTAGTGATGCCCTTGAGATTTATTGTGCATGTAGGAAGATCTATGTGTGCGCATGTGTGTGTGTGTTTAAATGGGAGGGTGAGCAGCTTCCTGTGATTGAGTGAGGGAGGAAGCGTGTCTGTGAAGATGTGACAAATTTTCATTGGAAGTTAACCGCTCATTGTAAAAAAATAAATAAACAAATGAAAAAGCTGTTGTCGCTCATCCGCACCCACATTAGGATATACTGTTATGATCATAAACCAAGCCACAAAAAAAACATAAACATGCACTCTTTCACACACTCACACAGTGACGCACACGCGTACATTCTGCCAAACCCTCTGGAGATTCATCATTTAACCGTGCCCATTCATCCCGGGCATTTGGATCCACTTAGCCCACAACATCAATAAAAGCCTGGCTATCAATCAGTCTTTCAATACAGCTGCTAAATACATCAGTCAGGATGAATTCCTGCTTCAGATGGTGACCCCGCTCTTGCTCATCCCCACCTCTATCTAAAGTTTTATTATCGCTAACCGCCTATCCAGTCTCTGACAGACAGGGTGGAAGCGGAGCAGGATGAAGGAGGAATCGGTTTTGACCTGTCTGTGCTCATAAATCTCTCATCCACGCTGGTAACAGAGATGCTCTATGATCGCTCTACCCCACTTAAACACATACAGTTACGCATACATGAAGACAAACAGTAATATTACTACTACTACTGCTCCAGAGGCACACTTCTATTCTGACAGTCGGGTTATAGGCTGCAGCCCATCTGCGTACGTGATATGGGGTCAACTAAGTGATATGTCTAGCCACATAAAGCAGAGTCATCCGTGGATGTACAACTGAGTCAATCACCCTGGTGCTGTCTTCATGTGCAGCCACCATGAACCCGCCCCACTTTTACAACTACAGAGCACGGGAGAAGTTTGGCTTCAGGGCTTTCAAAAGCCATTTTCACACATGCACACACAGAATCAGGTCGGGACATTGTCCAAAGCTGCCTTTTCTTACATGTAGGAAATAATTCTTACTACAGAGGAATACTCTGTGCAGATTAGCCTTAGGTGCTATGAGGGTAGAGCGTGCACGAAGCAGCAGATCAACTTGCTCGCGGTCAATTCACCGTGCAGTTGCCTACGCTTTTCTCACGTGTGCAATTGGACATCACACAGACACACAAGTTAGCGTATAGTGATTGATGTGACAGGGTTAAACTGAGGGCTGCAGTGCATGTGTGAAAACAGCTTAAGAAGTGGCTAATGTTGTGGCAATGTGTACTTTAACCACCAAAAGCATCTTTTCTCAAATGCAACTAATTAAACTTTGACTTTAAGTTTAAAATAATAATTGAATACTTGGCTCAAACTACAGACTTCCTGGGTGAAAGCCTGACAAACACTGTCTGACTTTCAGAACAGGCATCCTGCCACAAAGAGAAAGACAAACTTCTCCCACAAGCACAATAGCAAGATGGAGACTACGGCAAGCAACTACTGCAGCGCGACTCACGGTGTGGCAAACCATGTACTGTGCACACAGAAACATGAAGTCAGACATACACATAGTAAACATGAGATTTGACAGTCACTTAGTGTCACTATAGGTAGACTTCTCCTATCTGTTATTACAGAGAAACGAGCTTTGGGAGCAACTTAACATCAGGCTGAAAAGCACCTCAGTCACTGTTCTGCACGGCCCCTATCTGAGTTGGAGACGTTGGGGCAACGGCACGTAAAAGCACGTCTTTAAATGTCGAGTGAACCATCCGCTCTAGTAAGAAACAGCAGGAAATGACAACATCAGATTTTTGTGAAATACTGGGGAAACTGTAGCTACCTTTAAATAAATAGGTGAAATTAACACCATTAATTCAGCACATTTCCCAGAATGTTTGAGTAGTACTTTTTAAAAGGGTCAAAACTGTTCTGTCTTTTACAGCTTGTGTGATTTCACTTTAACATCTTTTAATCTGTCTTTTCTTTTCTTTTCTTTAGGTCAACATCAAGGATATGTTGTGGAAACTCATTCTCAAGATGTCACAAGTGTTTCAGATTCTTGCAGACATTTTTGGTCCCAACACTCCAAAAGGTCTCTGGTCAGGAATTCAGGAAAAAAAAGTGTGCTACAAATTTGCATTACTGTCTGGATATAGTAACCACAAAGTCTGATTTTCAGCTGGTGTTAAGTTGCTTTGTAAAAGGCACCCTGTGCAGTTTTCTTGTCAACAAAGGGAGTTGTTTTTTTACATTCAAATAAATTCATTTGCATCTATCCTCTAGGCTTATATAAATACTTATATAAATACCTGCCGACTTAAGACATCGGCATGCATTGATAACTAGAAACCTTCTAATTTTACTTAAAACGTTATGTGTCAGTCAGTACAGCAAAACTGACAAACGCCCCAAAGAAAATGTTGCTCCATAGCACCATTTACCACTTAGACAGCTCCACAGGGTGCCTTTTAATGTTAAGAGTAACACGGCAAGCTTAGTTGGACCACCTCTTTGTTCTTTTTTTGTACATTCACATTATTTTGACAGTCTCTGACATTGTTCGATCTGTTATGACCCAAAATGTGTTTGTTCTCTGTGGACATATTCTGTCTATAGGAAACAGCGGTGACTATAGAATATTTCAAGTGAGTTGCCTTAAGGCTTTCAGGAAAATCACATTTAAATACGAAACTAGATCCCCCTTTAACTTTGGAGATAAGGCAAAGCTCTCGTTGTGACTCCCAGTACCTTCTTATGTATTTTGTATGATTATACTGTGTGTGTGTGTGTGTGTGTGTGTGTCTGTGTGTGTGTGTGTGTGTGTGTGTGTGTGTGTGTCTGTGTGTGTGTGTGTGTGTTGTGTGTGTCTGCGTGTGTCTGTCTGTGGTGTTACTGAAGAGTACTTTACATATAGTATGAAGGTACATCCACCCACTCAGAGAAACCAGCAGCTCCGTAGACTATCTGTGCAAAGTGTGTGTGTATGTTTGATTGTATGTGTGTGTGTGTGTGTGTGTGTGTGTGTGTGTGTGTGGTGGTGGGGGGGGTTATTGCTCTCAATAATCTCAGAGGTCATTCTGTTTCTCCTGAAGTGAAGGCATAGTCATCCTTATTGCTGTCTCTGTCTGTCTCTCTTTCTCTCTCGCAGACACACACTCACACACGCGCGCGCGCAGACACGCACGCATACACACTCACTTTCTTATATGTTAAGGAGCATATTGCAATATCTAAATCTGTAACAAAGAGAGACAGGCAGATCTTAGTTCATAGCAGAGCCTTTGGTCTCAGACTCCTCTCATCACTTCAAGTTGCTCCTCTCTGTCTTTTCTTTCTTCCTCTTCCAATGTTGTTTCACATCAGTCTGTCACACTTGCATGCCAGGCTTGCTCAGATCACCATTCCCCTGGTTCCCACCTCCCCCTCCACCTCCCCCACCTCCACCCATCCCTCCCCTTTCGTCCTCGTCATCGCTGTCCAGTTCCTCGCTCTTTCGCTTGCTGTAGCGTTCGTACAGCACCATTAGCACGCCCATCACCCAAGCCGACACCGTGCCGGCCGAGAAGATGACAAAGCCGATGGCGATGAAGAAGAGGTAGTCCCAGTAGCCCAGGCCTTGGTGGCAATCTGCCCGCAACTGCATGCCGACCTCCGCCAACCGCTGGCCAGCCAGCTCCGGAGGGTTGTGGCAAACTGTCTGGCCCTCATCTGGAGGTGAGGAGAGAAAGAAAAAGAAAAAAGAGAGCGGAGGAGTAATGAGAGAGGAGATTAATGAGGAAAGACATATCATAAAAGAGAGCAGTGGCAGAGAATAATCAATGTGTGGTTGAGGATGAAGGGCAGAGTATCGGGAGAGAAAAGGGGAAAAAATGTAATTACTCAGGAGAAAAAGGTATGCAACATCAAACGCCAGGATCCAAACAAACAGCTTTTAAAAATGCACTGATAACCTTTGTGATAAAGGATCCCGAGAGACACAACAGATTTCCTCTGAGTAATGGGGGTCTTTGGTGTCTAGGGCACGGGATCATTATTACGCTGCACACATACTCATGCACATGTATGCAAGGAAAGGTGACTTGACTGCAAGCCTGGGGCACATAAACGCTCCCCTACGCTCGTGTACATCATTATACACCAGCAAATCACTATGCACTGGTGAGAAGATAAGGAGATGAGTGTATTCTCTGACAAAACATCTGCTGCTCGTAATGGGAAAATGATAATCAGCCAGAGTAACTGTCATCCACACAGTAAAGCAGAAACACTGACACTTTTAAAACAGTAAATGACTTATTTATGGGGTTTGAGATTTAACAAAAGAGAGGTCAAAGGTTAGGGTCAACTACTGAAGCCAGATAGGTCCCAATCTCTTTGTCCGTGCTTGTCCTAGCCTCCTTGAATCAGTTCATTCTGCTACAGTGAATTTGCATTAGCATATACAGTACCCTCGTGTATATCAATTAATATGAACACAGCGCTAACAAGAGAGAGGATGGAGGGTAGAGGGACTCGCTCTGCATGCATCTAGTAGTGTAATCAGAAACAAGAACAGTATGCGCTGTTTCCTATCAGTTCATCTTACTTTAGAAGCACGGCTAATTCCCATGCTTCTTCATTCCCACCCTCCCTGCATGCTTGATTGCATTTGTCTACATAAAGGGCACGAGCTTTTTGTGTGTTTTGCTTTTTCTTTTTCTTTATTCCAAGCTGGGGGAAAACGAGAGAGATGAGAGACCGAAAAAGAGATAGACGGACAAATCGAGATGAGCACTTTTAAAAACCGAGAGAAAGATAACGGCACAAAACAGGGACGGAGGAAGAAAAATGCAAACAAATGCACAGAGAAAGAGTGTATGCACACACTAAATAGGAATCACGAGATAGACAGAACATAGAATATGAGCGAAGAAGTCTCTGGCGCTCCATTCCTCTGATGGATTATTGCTGTTAACAGTGTTAATTAAACTGCAGTCATCTACCAATGAAGCCAAAGGTCTGGACATGGAAATGAGCAATGGGAACAGAATGACTGGATATGATCTATACATCTCAGACTACTTGCCAGGGATTTGCAGAAGCAGCACTTTGAAGTAAGAACTAGAAGGATGCCCAAATGAACCTGAAACCTAAAGTGTTTTATTCTGCCCAAGATAACCACGAGACACATTATACTGGTGGTAAGAAAAGTGGAATCAAACAAAGCAAATTTGGTGTTTTGAAAAAGGTTTCCCAAACCTGCTCGGGAGAACTTTCACAACACATATATCTGCAGTGGTTTTATGTTTTTGATCAATACAGCGTTGCTTATCACCTCCCCCGGGGGCTTTCTCCCACTCTTGAGAAGAAGAGTTGAGCTGATGTTGTGTCAAGTCTGCTGCATGTGTCAAGTGATGGATTGGTATTCTTCTGTAACCAAATAGCTTTGATGTTTTTTTCTTTTTAACAGCTGTCCATGTGAGTGCTGAGAGTATGAGGTCACTGAGTTAGTATTTAACACCATAAAACAGGATTAGTTGTCAGAGGCGCACAATTTTTCAGTGGCAAATAAACAACTGAGGATAAACTGGAACATATTCTGCATGTAACACCTTTTTTCTTTATCCATTTTTGACAGTCAATCAGAAAATAGACGCACAGAGATTTTACATCGCCCCTCTCTTGTCTCTGCTCGCTTCCCTTTTAGAAGTAATCGTAGAAGTGATCGGCATGAAAAAGAGACCTGATTTCAAAAGCTGGGAGAGAATACTGAGAGGGGACAAATACAGTGGTTAATGCAGAGTGTTCAGTGGGCAACACAAAGGGCAAGATTATATACTTTATTATTAGACACAGACATTATGCTGTTTGTATTTTAGTTTTGTAGTTTTGTAAATGGCATTAACCTTAGAGTGTCTGTAAGTTAATAGGCCAAAATTGGACCGACGGATGAAATTTACTGCTGGAAATGTGAAAGTAAAACAGGCGCATTCCTGAATGTAATGAAGAAATTCTTTTATATTTCTCCTTTGTGGAAATTAGTTATCAGAAAGTGCTGGAGAAAGCAGGGACAGGGCTCTTTAAACCCACCCAAACAAGACTTTACTGGCTCTTCGAGGATTGTTCTCCACTAAGACACTAAAGACGACACCTGATTGAAATGAATCATGGCCTTTGTCTGTTGCAAAGGATTTCTGATGTCATTCAGTAATTCACTATTACAATACAAAATATATATAGGCCTTAAATAGGCTGTCTGTGAACCCAGGGGATCAGATCACCATTGCTGCCTCCTTTAACTGCTGCCCAAGCCACAATGCAGCAGGCCACAATGGCACATCTACAGGCGATGGACCCACTTGTTTGGGCTGCGTCCAGCCGAGCTCCATGGATAAAGGTCTGACTACCCTTTGGGATCCCGATATCTACTAAGTAAGGTTTTTCAGGCATTTCTAACTGGGAGAAGACCCAAGGCATGCTTGAGAAATTCTGCCTCTTAGTATCATTGGAAGGGCTGCAGCAGGAGCCTGAGGACAGCTCAGGACAAAATAATCTGTGGAGGAAGTATGGAAGGTCGGTTCTGTTTTTATTTGATTATTTTAATCTGCTTGTCACTAATCTTTTATCCATGTTACCTTATTTATGTTGAAAGGTCTTCATATGTTGGAAAACTGCACTAAACTTCCTTATGTGTCTTCACTGTTCGTGGCTGTCCCTCTGTCATCGTCTTCCACTGTTTCTGGCACAGCTAGCTGGTCTGCTCTGTCTCATTACCTTGCCAATGTTGCCTCGAGGCTGGTGTGAGGATTTGTTTTCCTGCGTATATGCAGTGAGGTGTTTTCTTTTCTCTCTTGCAATGTAACATTCGTAACCGGATGCTGGAACAGTGAGGTGCAATCAGAGGCTGTGCAGACTCACAACAGCAAACAGGTCCCCCGGGGTATTGGGGTCTCGTTTGTTCTTCTTCCGTCAACATTTCATGTGTCTTGTAACAATTCAAACTCTGGTCACAGTTCTTGGCTGCATGGTACTGCTGCCTGTTCTTCTCTAAAGTGTGATGAAAGGCAGTATACTGATTGAGCATGCTCCACTTGTATTGTATTGTATAAGTGAACAAACAAGAACACTGTCTCACACTAAAACAATCTTTCAACAGAAAACTCTAATATTTAAACAATAGATAAGCATGAAAGTACGATGCATCCACCATGTTCCTGTTATTTAGTGTTAGCTGTTTAGACCCCCTGTTTCATTTTAATGGAGAGAGGCAAAATATCAACCAAAAAAGTCAAAAGAAAAAACATAAAAGTTAAAAATTAATTTGCAGGTTATTGAGTGAAGTAAATATTTGATCCCCTATGACCCAGCCAGAATTCTGACTCCCACAAACTGGCTGTATGCCCTTGTAAGACCCAGATTATAATGAATCAGTCAAATAATTAAAGAGACTCCTGATCTATTTATGACCGCACCAGTGGCTTCTTCCAGCAGAAAAACCCTCCATGTCACAAAGTTTAATCATCTCAAACTGGTTTCTGAACATGAAAATTAGCCCACAATAATCAGATATCAATCCAATAGACTAATAGGAGATGTGCATCATGGGTGTAAAGTGACCAGCGAGTGTATGTAGCCTGTTGTATTTAATCTAAAGAGTTAAGAGTTTTAGACTGTAACATGGTGTGAGCTGGGCAGGTGTCATGTGTAAGGGCTTCTGTCAAAAGCACACACAAAGCCTGATGTTAAACAAGAAAGGTGTAAATTTAATGCAAATTTTGGAAGAACATGACCACAAAAAGCACTGCAGAGTTGAGCAGGATTTACCAAAGTCGAGCAGTGAGTCAAATAAGTAAACAATGAGATAAATAAAAATGCAGAGGATCCCCAAATGGATGAGAGGCATGCAGGAGATGAACACGATAAGATCGAGTAATGGCTAAACACAGACGAGGAGAGAAAAAGGATAAGCCACGGGTGGAGGGAAGGGAGTAATAAGGAAATAACTTTTAGAATACAACGGGTAATAGGAACGGATTACAGGAGAAGGCCTCTGTCGGTGCGCCCCAGGGTGGCTGTGGCTACAATGTAGCTTGCCATCACCAATGTGTGAATGGGTGGATGACTGGTTGTGTAAAGTGCTTTGGGGTCCTTAGGGACCAGTAAAGCACTATACAAATACAGGCCATTTACCAGTTGGTTCTGTGTCGTTCAACAGGAAGATGTCTGAATTCCCGCCCACAAATACATTTATCCTGCACACTTGTGGCTATGCTTTGGAGATAATTCACTGCCGCTTCCAATCCCAGATAAGAGAAAATAATGTGAGTATTACTGGAGAATACAGGAAAAGGTGGCAGCCTGGATGATTCACTCTGTGTTCAGTCTCTCTTCACCGTCTGTTTCCTTGTCACTCACTGTTTTCTCACTCATCCCATCACTCAGCCATCACTCTGGCAGCATGCCCATGACATTTTCAGTAGTTGTCCCTGTTTTTCACAGTCGCTATTTTTCACTGAATTTTGTCTTTAATAAGATATGCGCTGGTACCTTTGGTGAATGTAGTTAAAACTGTTATTTTCTTGTTTAAAGTCCAGCATTTTAGGCATTGTAGCCATTCTCTCCGGTTAATATCTAATCTGAAGACTGTTTCATTAAATGTCCAGTTATAGTACCCATTCAGTACAGGTGCTAATTCATTTTAAGCACACCTTTTTGAAAACTTAAATGTG